GAAAGAGCCTGGTAAAGGATTTTTGAAATCATAAGCTAGTTTAGAATTTCAGTTTGATCATGAAATCCCAACTGGGTAGAGGCCAGCAGGTGGTGTGGTGATTGAGGCTCTGGACTTCCACATGGCTGACTGAGGTTCAAGTTCCAAACCTGGTGGCTTGCTTTCTCACTTTTCCTCTCTCTCTCTCTCTCGCTCTCTCTCAGGTGAGCGTATGTGGCCTATAGCAAATTAAAATAATAACAATGATAAATAAAAGTAATAAATAATTCTTACCGAAAAAAATGTAAACTGGGTAAGGACATCAGAAGAAAAGTATAAGCCACCCTCACTTATATCAATATAAATGTAAAAATCCTAAATGAAACATTAGCAGATTGAATTTGACAGTGTGCACAAAAATCTTCAATGTAGTTCACCATACTAAAGCTTATTTCTCTCTCTCTATTTTTTGTTTGTTTGTTTGAGAAGTGAGAAATCACACCACCACCACCACCTCCCCCCCAGGGGGGATGGCTGCAATCCCTTGTCCTCCATTCTCCTCTTGGGATTTTGGGCACGCATGCACATGTGCCTGGTGCGAGTTTCAGGCTATCAGATCCAGGACTCAAACCAAGGTCAACTCAAACCAAGGTCACCTTAACTACTATGCCACCTGCTGGGTCCATTAAAATTTATTTTGAGGAAAAATATAGAATGATATCAATAGAAGCAGCAAAAGAGGTCAATAAAACTTAATACCACTATGATTTAAAAAAAAAAACAACTAACTATAAACAGAAAAACATCTTTAAGCTGATAAGGTTATCTACTAAAACATCACACTTATTTATTTATATAGTTTTTATTGCCAGAGGTTGCATGCACTTGCCAGAGAAAGAGACAGAGAAAACATTCCCCAATGGGGTGTGGTCATGCTGCAATCTGTTTTCTTCCATTTACCCATCCCATCAAGATTTTGAGCATGCTCACACACATACCCAGCATGTTTTTCAAGCCACCAGGTTTGGATTCAAATCACAGTTGGCCATGTGGGATCCATCTCTTCAGACACAGCACTTACCCACTGCATTACGGGCCAGCCCCAGTCACACTTAATAAAACTTAGAAAGCATTCCCATTTAAGTCAGGAACTAGCCTGTAGGTGATGGGCCCTGAAGACCCTGCCAGAAGCAAAGGCCAACTTCTCTGGGGACTTCACGGTGGCACCACTAACGACAGCACCCTTCATGATGGAGCTCCTCACCATGGAGCCCCATTACTTCAAAACACCTGAAAAGTCCATCATCTGCAAGAGGTCACATGTACAAACAGCACAGGCCATAGGGTTAGACAAAGATGATCAAATAGTTAAAACAATTAGTTTGGGACCAGCAGATGGCGTAATGGCTATGTTGCTGGACTCCCATGTAGTTGATCACGGTTTGAGTCCTGGACCCGGTGGCTTAAACTCACGCTGGGCGGGGCCAAGATCCCTAGAGGAGAATGGATGGTCATGCTGCAAGCTGTTTTCTTCCATTTACCCATCCCATCAAGATTTTAAGCATGCTCACACACATACCCAGCATGTTTTTCAAGCCACCAGGTTTGGATTCAAATCACAGTTGGCCATGTGGGATCCATCTCTTCAGACACAGCACTTACCCACTGCATTACGGGCCAGCCCCAGTCACACTTAATAAAACTTAGAAAGCATTCCCATTTAAGTCAGGAACTAGCCTGTAGGTGATGGGCCCTGAAGACCCTGCCAGAAGCAAAGGCCAACTTCTCTGGGGACTTCACGGTGGCACCACTAACGACAGCACCCTTCATGATGGAGCTCCTCACCATGGAGCCCCATTACTTCAAAACACCTGAAAAGTCCATCATCTGCAAGAGGTCACATGTACAAACAGCACAGGCCATAGGGTTAGACAAAGATGATCAAATAGTTAAAACAATTAGTTTGGGACCAGCAGATGGCGTAATGGCTATGTTGCTGGACTCCCATGTAGTTGATCACGGTTTGAGTCCTGGACCCCGTGGCTTAAACTCACGCTGGGCGTGTCCAAGATCCCTAGAGGAGAATGGAGGAGAAGGGATTGCGGTGTGGCCATCCCCCCTGGGGGCTGATTCTCGCTTTCTGTCTGTCTGTCTCTCTCTGTCTTTCTGGCGAGTGCACATGCCCTATAGCAAAAACCTCTCCAAAAAAATAAAAAATAAAAAAATAAAATGAATAGTTAAAATGATAAATAAGGAATCAAAAACCATACTACAGATGGTCCCAAACTTGTGATGGTTCCACTTCATCATTTTTCAACTCAACTGTTTATTTATCAGGGTGTAACCCCGCTGTAAGATGAGGATATCTAGCTCTCGGAACACTGACAGTACACCTGACTTCAAGACTTACTGTACGGCTCCAGTAGTCACGACAGTGTGGTACCAATGAAGGCACGGGCAAGTACATCAATGAGAGGGGATGGAGAGCCAGGAAATACCCCCACGCACATACAGGAGACTGATATTTGACAAAGGAGCACAGGCAATACAAGATGGAAAGGATAGTCTTTTCCACAAATGGTGCAAGAACAAATGGACATTGGCATACACACGATAAATCTAGACGGACCAGACACCTTCATACATGTTCACTCGAAATGGATCATAGACTTAAACGCAAAACTATAAAATTCTTAAAAGATAGCACAGGGAAAAAAATTCTAAGGACCTTGGGTTTAGCGATGACTTTAGATACAATACCAGAGGCACATTTTATGAAAGACTGACTTGATACTTAAAATTAAAAAAAATAATAAAGTTCTAAAATATAAAATGATAGTAATGGCTAAAAGGCCAACATAGACAAAAGGGAATCTGGTTAACAGTCTCAATAACTGACAAAGTATAATTTGGGGAAAAACATATAAAACATAAAGAAAGGCATTACAAAGAAATAAAGTAAATAATATCAAAGATGAGAGAATTATAAACACAGAGCCTTCCAACCCAAACTCAAAATATATACATAACACTGGGCTAACCCCATAGTGCCGTGGTTAAGTGCTGTGCACAGAAAGCCTGACACAGTTGACCATGGTTTGAATCCTGGCCCTGGCAGCTTGAGAAACACGCCAGGTACGTGTGTGGGTGTGCGTGCACTGGATGGTGAAATATCAACAGAAGAAAAAGGATCGTGGTGTGACCACGCCCCAGTGGGGGCACCTTCTCTCTCTGGTGAGTGTACACACCCTGTGGCAATAAAAAAAAGTACATATAGCATCAACTGAACTGATCAAATTTCAGGGACACAGAGAAACAAACTCTTTTTTTTTGATAGAAAAATTCTTTAATCAAAACAAGTTTACACGTTGATACTTATGTGGCTTAACTAGAATAAATCTGTCCAAGTTAAAATTGTGTTAAGGACTAAAGAGATGACTGGTATATATATATATATATATATATATATATATTATCATAATTACCTCAAACAGTGGGATCTAGTTCCATTTTAGGATCTCTCAAAAGCAAAAGTCCAATTTTGACATGATTCCCTCAGAAGGGTAGGTCAGCTATACAAAGAGTAAGCTGGATAAGAGGGTGCTTTGTATGTTAAGAATTTGATTACAATAATAAATCATGCTGAAAGTTTTATTGCCAAAAAAAGGAAAGAAAAAAATTGGTAAACTGGTTCTTATTAAAATTACTGCTCTATGAAAGCGGATGAGAAGACAAGCTACAGACTGAGAGAAAATATTTGCAAAAGACAAATTTGATAAAGGACTATTATCCAAACTATACAAAGAACTCTTAAAACTCAACAAGCAAACAACCTGACTTAAAAATGGGTGAACGGGGACCAGCAGTTAGCGTAATGGCTATATTGCTGGACTCCCATGTAATCGACCGCAGTTCGCATCCCGGACCCGGTAGCTTAAACTCACACCGGGCACATGTGTGTGTGTGCCCAAGATCCTGAGAGGAGAATGGAGGAGAAGGGATTGCGGTGGGGCTATCCCCCCGGAGGATGATTTCTCCTTTTCTGTCTCTCTGTCTCTCTCTCTGTCTTTCTGGCGAGTGCACACACCCTATAGCAAAAACCTCTCTCAATAAAAAAGGATGAAAGGTCTTAACAGACACCTTGCCAAGATACACAGATGGGAAATAAACCTATGAAAAAATTGCTTCACGTGATAAGTCATCAGGGAAATGTTAATTAAAGCAACAATGACATAGCACTGGTAGAACGGTTAGAACCCAGAACCCTGACGACACCAAGTGCAGCAGCGGCAGGTACTTGCATCCACTGCTGGTGGGAATGCGAAACGACACGGCCTCGGAAGCCGGTTGGTGGTTCCTTACAAAAGTAAACACTCTTATCTGCCCTCACAGGATCCAGCAATCACTCTCTTTGGTATTTACCCAAAGGAGTTGAGAACTGTGTCCACACAGCAAACTGAAGTGCAGATGGATGTTTATAGCAGCTTTGTTCATGATTGTCTAAAATCGGAAGCAACCAAGATGTCCTCAAGCAGTGAATGGATAAAGGGTGTTACATCCAGATAATGGAATATTACTCAGCACTAAAAAGAAATGAGCTCTCAAGCCATGAGTAAACATGGAGGGACCTTAATGCATATTACTAAGTAAAAGAAGCCAATTTGAAAACGTTCTCTACTGTGATTCCAACTGTATGGCATTCTGGGAAAGGCAAAATCAGGAACACTGTATAAGATCAGTGGTTCCCAGGAGTTAGGGGTGAGGGGAGGGATGAATAGCAAAGCAGAGGATGCTCAGGGCAATACAGCTATCCTGTATGATACTACAGTAGTGGATGTGTGTATTTTAAGTTAGTCAAAACTCACAGAATGTATGGACTGGCCCTGTGGTGTAGCCATTAAGCACTGTGTAGAGGGAGCCAGATCCCACATGGCCAACTGTAGTTCAAATCCCAGTCCTGGTGGCTTGAAAAATATGCTGGGCACATGCATACATGCCCAGGATCCTGATAACACTGAGAAATGAAGAAATGAAGGATTGTAGCATGACTAGGCCCTATTGAGGGGTGATCTCTCTCTCTCTGGTGCACGTGTACACGCCCTCTGGGAAAAACCATAGAATGTACAACACCAAGAGAGAATCCTAATGTCAACTATGGGCCGTGAGTAACAGTGATGTGTAAATTTAGGTCCGTCAGTTGGAGTAAATGGGGGCCATTCGGTGGCACAGCCGTGACAAGCAGTGCTCTGTAAGGCTGACCGTGTGGGCAGGTTGGTGTCAGAGACCTCCCTGAGTATGCTGGGCAAGCATGTGCACGTGATCCAGGCCCAGTAAGGCTGGGCATGGATTGAAACATCCAGACCTGCTTGGGGGGCTTATCCCTCTGCCTCTCACTCATGGGAGAATTTTTTTAAAAAAACGTAACATTTAAAAGGTGAATGAAAAGAAATAGTAAGAAAGGTACACTCTGGTGAGGGTTGACAACAGCAGGGGAGGTTATATGTGGTGGGGGAGATAAAGGGTTGTCAGAAAAGTCATGATGTATTTTTTCTGTTTTTCTATGCAAAAATGCATCATGACTTTTCAGACAACCCGATATATGGGGAATATCCTTGCCTTCCATTCAGTTTTGCTATGAACCTAAAACTGCTCTAAAATTGAAATCTATTTTTTTTAAAAATGGTACTTAATTACCATGCCACCTGCTGGCTCACAAGTAGAAGTTCTTGAAATGAGTAATAGCCATGGAAATGAAAAGTTCATTACAGCTAGTAGTTTTTTTTTTTTTTTAAAGGATTATTTTATCTAATTATATTGTCATTACTTTATTTTATTTTTAAAAGTTGACCAGAGAGAGACAGAGAGAGAAGGAAAGTGAGAAAGCAAGCTGCCAGGTCTGGGACTCGAACCACAGCCAGCCACTTGGGAATCCAGCCGCCTAAACCACCACAGCACCTGCTGGCCCAACAAGTTCATTATAGAAGAGGAGAGAATGAATGGGGAGGAAGTCTCTGTGTGTTACACTGAAACAGTCTCTCGACTACATCCTGGAGTCCTCCACTCAATGAGAAGAGTCCTGCATATTTGATTCTGACCTGAAGACTGTTCTGCTATAAGGGGCCCATGGGGAAAACTGTGGGTTCAATACTGACTTTCCAGGAAGTTCTTAGACTCTTAGATCCCGAGCCAGAGGCTGTGAAGTTTATTTTATTCTATTTTATTTTTTAGGTTTTTGCCTTAGGGTGCGTGCCCTTGCCAGAGAAAGAGAGACAATGAAAGGGAAAGTGAGAAATCACTCCCAGGGTGGATGGCCATGCCACAATTCTTTCTTTTCCATTTTCCTTCCTGGGATCTCGGGCACACACGCACACATGCCTGGCATGATTTTTAAGGTACAAGGTCCAGGACTAAGACTGCAGTTGGTCATGTAGGAGTCCAGCGTCATAATCGCTATGCAATCTTCTGGCCCCAAGGCTATGAAGTTTTATTCTCAGACTGTTTTCCAGAAATATCAAAGAAGAAACCAAGGACGGCTCTCCTTTTTTTTTTTTTTTTTGGAGATTTTTGCAATAGGGAACATGACTGGAGAGACAGAGAGAGACAGAGACCAAGAGACAGAAAGTGAGAAATCACCCCCCGGCAGGGTGGCCATGCCACAATCCCTTTCCCATTTTCTTCTCAGGATTTTGGGCTTGCACACACATGTACCTGGAGTGAGTTTTAAGCCACCAGGTCCAGGACGTGATCTGTGGTCAACTATGTAGGAGTCCAGTGATGTAACCACTATGCCATCTGCTGGTCCCAGGACTTGTCTTAACTCTTGAGCTAACAAGATCTGTGTCTGAGAACCAGCAACCTGACCTCACCCAGCCTCCACGTGCTCCTCATCCAGGGTGGGGCTGGGCGAGGGCAAGCTAAGCTTTGTTTATATCCAGGCCGCTCTCGCATGTCCACAGAATTTAGAGTAGTTAAGGAAACTTTTTTGGAGTGAAATAATGTAATTTCTAATATTTCTAGAAATGGGGGCAAAGATTGGCCTGACCTCCGTGTCCCCAACTCTAGTGTCACTGTGAAAGAGATGCCCTAGGACACTGTCTCACACTGTGACAGGGCCTGACATTAAAATAAAACAAAGGAGAGAAAAAGAGCGATGAGAGGCCACCTTCTCCTTCCAGCGACTCCCGCTGGTGACCCATGAGGCCTTGCTTAGGACCTGATCACTTTGCTAATGTCTGGTCTTTTTATGACCATGTTAGAAAATAAAAAATACCATGATGTAATTTCTTTTTCTTTCTTTCTTTCTTTCTTTTTCTTTCCTTTTTTTTTTTTTTAGAGAGATTTTATTTTTTTTGCTACAGGGCATGCTCAGTGGCCAGAGAGACAAAGAGACAGAAAGTGAGAAATCACCCCCTAGGGGGATGACTACACCTGCAGTCCCTTCTTCTCCATTCTCCTCTTGGGATTTTGGGCATACGTGTACACATGCCCAGCACAGGTTTTAAGCCACCAGGTCTGGGACTTGAACCACAGTTGGCCACATGTGAGTCCAGGGATGTAATCATTATGCCATCTGCTGGTCCCACCATGGTGTAATTTCTTACCCTAGGCTCACGATAACAATTTTTGTTTTAGGTCTATGCTTTTTTAAAACTCTGATGTGATCTGAGGGCATTGAAAACGCACCTTCTCTTACCTGCCAAATTTATTCACCAAGGGGCCGACCAGAAGGGAGCCGATAAAGCCTCCGAAGGGAAACATGGACACGGATATGGACCACAGCAACGTCAGGAGAAACTCATCTAAGGGTCTGCCGTTTCTATCAGTGTAGGTCGCATTGTAAAAGTCTTTCATGAACTGGGAAAAAAGCAACACAAGAATGCCGGGATAATTTGCTCTGGTTTTGCAGAATGAATGACCTAAGTTGTCAGGTCATTTGATAAGATAATCTATGCACGCTGATATCAACACTGCCAGATGGGGAAAGAGCTACCGTGTCTAGCTGGACCTGGTCAACCCAAGGCCCTGTGCCTGCAAGTTCCCTTGGGCCCGTGTCCCTTTCCCTTTACTCGAGGACACACTGTACTCACTGCGTGCACCCAAGACGGGCTGCTCCAGGCGCCCCCCGCCCCGATATTCAAGAATGTATCTCTAGCCACTGTGACCTACCTCTGCTGGGGAGTTGACAGCAGACACGTTGTACCCATACTGGAAGGATGACCCAAAGGCAGCAATCAGGGTCGCCAGAGCCAGCACAAGCGTCAGCTTCTGTGGAAGAGATCACAGTTCAAGTCAGGGAGCAGCCTTGGGGTGGAAGGACCTCCTGCCTTATTCCAAAGTCTTGTAGAAATTGAAATAGAATTGGGCCAGCCAGTGGTACAGGGATTAAGGTGACTGAATCCCAATGGCCAACATGTGGTTTAAGTTTTGCACCCAATGACCTGAAAAAAGCACCAGGCATGTGTATGCGCATGACCAAAATCCCCAAAGAAAAAATGGAGAGGGGATTGGGGCATGAGCATCTCCCACGAAGGATGCTTTCTCACTTTGTTTCTCTGGGAAGTGTACATGCCCTCCAGCAAATTAACAAAGAAATAACAAAGACAGAGAGTGAGAGAGAGAGAAAGGAAGAAAGAAAAAGAGAGAAAGAAAAGAAAAAGAAGAGAGAAGAGAGAGAGGAAGAAAGGAAGGAAGGAGAAAAGGAAGAAGAGAAAAGAAAGGAAGAAAAAGAAAGGGAAAAGGTAAAAAGAAAAGAGAAAGAAAGAAAAAAAAGAAAGGAGAAAGAATGAAAAGGAAGGAAGAAAAGAAAGGAAAAAAGAAAAGAAGGAAGGAAGGAGGGAAAAAGAAAGAAGAAGCAAACTGCAGCAGAATCTCACAGTCCGTAGTCTTGCACCTATTCCATATCTTAAGCCCTACCCTCCATCCATCTTTTTTTTTTTTAGAGGTTTTTGCTATAGGGCGCATGTGCTCGCCAGACAGACAGAGAAAGAGAGATAGTGAGAAATCACACCCCAGGGGGATGGCCATGCTGCAATCCCTTCTCCTCCATTCTCCTCTCGGGATCTTGGGCACACACGCACACATGCCCGGTGTGAGTTTAAGCCACCAGGTCCGGGACACGAGCCTCAGTCGACTACGTGGGAGTCCAGCAACAGCCATTACGCTAACTGCTGGTCCCTCCATCCATCTTGAGTTAGCCCAGGCTTTCTCAACCATGGCCCTTTCCACACTGAGGGTGTTCAATAGTTCTTTGCTATGGGGCTGTTTTACGCGCTGTAGGGTATTTTCAGCACCTCTGGCCTCTATCCATCAGATACCACTAGCATCCTTCTTCCCAACTCTGACAACCCGAATATCTCCAGACATTACTAAAAGTTCCCCAGGGTTGGGGTGAAGAGCTGCCTCCACTGAGCACTACAGGGTCAGAAAGACAGCAAAGGCGCCAGCAGGTGGTGTAGTGGTTAAGGTGCTAGACTCTTCCTTGGCTGACCACAGTTCAAGTCCTGCACCTAGCAGCTTGAAACTCACACCAGTCGTGTGTACATGCATGCCCACAATCCAGAGAGGAGCATGGAGGAGAGGGATTATGGTGTGGCCATCTCCCCTTGGGGGGAATTTCTCACTTTCTCTCTCTCCATCTCGCCTATTGCAAAAATCTCTCAAAAACAAACAAACAAACAAAACAGTGAAACCTAGGAGAAGAATCAAAAGGTTCTTTGAAAAACGGAATTTAACTATGTGTTTATTTCGGTGTGAAAAAAATTGATATCTCTGCACCATTTTTTCATAATAGACATTTCCCAGGTACTTTTTCAACACTCCATCTAATGTCTGAATTACTTCCAGAAGTTCCTGCCGTGTGGCTGAATTCGCTGGCTCGAGTAGTGAGCTCAAGCACCATCTCAAAAATAAACTTCCCAAGAAAGCAGAGGAGAAAAAATGTGAAAATGTTCATTATTTAGGACTACCGATTAATGTCCTTTAACCCCAGGACTTTGGCTATAGTAGACAGAAGACATAATGAAAACATACTTAAAACTAGATTTCGAAGGAGACCCATTCTGTGCTAGCACCCAGGACACATGAGGCTGAACATCCATTTCAGACCATCTTGAATGACAAAAGGGGATTCTTCAGTACTTAGTACAGCAGTGAAAGGGGCGAACAACAGGTGTGGAATGTATGTACATGGGCCCGACGTGATTTTTTTTTTTTTTTTGCTATAGGGCGCGTGCGCTCACCAGAAAGACAGAGAGAGACAGAGGTAGAGAGAAAGAAAGCGAGGAAACACCCCCCAGGGGGAATAGACACACCACAATCCCTTCTCCTCCTCCATTCTCCTTTTGGGATCTCAGGCGCGTACGCACATGTGCCCAACATGAGTTTAAGCCACTGGGTCCGGGACTCGAACAGCAGTTGACTACATGGGAGTCCAGCAACATAGCTATTATGCTAACTGCTGGTCCCCCCCGATGTGATTTTCAAGCCACCGAGTCGGCCATGTGGGAGTCTAGCACCTTAACCACTATGCCACCTGCTGGTCCAAGGACTTGAACTTTTAAAAAACCACTCCAGGGACTGGGTGCAGAACAGAAGTGGGGAGTTTAATGAAGGGGGTGGTTGAAAAGGGCTGATTGACAGCAGATGGAGGCTTGGTTAAGTGGGGAAGTGGCTGAGGCACGGACAAGAAGTGCCAACTTTATGGACTATTTAGGCAGAGAATTGAACACTGGTCCTCTTCCATTGCTGGAGGGAAGATAAAATGGTTTACCACTTGGAAAAGATTAGTATTCTCCCAAACATAAACACAGAGTAACCATATAACCCAGCAATTCCACTCTTAGGTATATACCCAAGAGAAATGAAAACACACATCCACATGAAAACTTGAACACAGATCTTCATGGTAGCGCCAGAGCTCCAAAGTGGATACAACCCAAATGGCCACCATGTGATAAAGGGAAAAGCAAAAGTGGTATATCCATACAATGGAAAATTATTTGGCCATAAAAAATACTGCCACCTGATACAAGGGGCATGAAATTTGAGAACATTACTTGAAGTGAGAGAAGCCAGTCACAAAGACCACTTACTGTCTGATTCTATCTGAAATGTCCAGAAGAGGCAAACCCAGAGAGGTAGAGAGTAGATTAGATTAGTGGCTGCCTAGGGCCGGGGTAAGGGAGGAGACTGGGGTGGGGGTGGGGACAGGGAGTGGATGCTGACAAACAGGGCTTTATTTTAGGGATGAGGAAAATGCTCTACAGGTGTGCTGAGGGCCGCACAACCCTAAGTACACAGTCGTGCTTTGCTTAGGGACAGAGAGACCATTCTGTGGCCGCAAAGTCCAAAGGCTTAGGCCTGGCATCAGGCCTGATGGATGACAGAAGCATGGAGGATGGCAGGTGCCTACAGAGAAAGACAGAGGGAGGGAGGAAGAGAGAGAGAGCGAGCGAGTAAGCTACAGGTAGTTCTTCCCTTCCCAGTCAGCAGCTCTTACAACTCGCTCCTTCCCAAGAGAACAAGAGCTCAGTGGTTTCATGTGACATCACTAACCTATTCACAAGAGGATGTCTTCAGTGAGCCAGTCTCCACCTACTAGGCTTCACCACCGCCCAGCATCACATCCCAAAGCACACCACTTAAGAAACGAATCATAGTCTAAACCAGAACACCTGCGTAGCGCCCTTACGGGGATGCAGCCCACAGGACTGGACACCGGGCAAGTCCATGAGCGCATGGGACATTCCTGTACGCCACTGCGGACTTCTAAACACCGACACTCCAGCTGCACCACATTTATTTTAAAAAGTGTTCTTCAGGACCAGCAGTTGGTGTAATAGCTATGTTGTTGGACTCCCATGTAGTCGACTGTGGTTCGAGTCCCGGACCCAGTGGCTTAAACTCACGCTGGGTGCATATGCATGCATGCCCAAAATCCTGAGAGAAGAATGAAGGAGAAGGGATTGCAGTGTAGCCATCCCCCTGGTGTGCGTGTGTGTGTGTGTGTGTGTGTGTGTGTGTGTGTGTGATTTCTTGCTTTCTGTCTCTGTCTCTCTCTGTTTTTCTGGTGAGCACACACGACCTATAGCAAAAACCTCTCCCTTCTCCCCAAAAAAGCGTTTTTCAATGCAAAACACAACATACTGCTTTATAGTAGACTTCTTTTTATAAATAGGAGGAAATTCTAAAATAATGATAAAAAGCATAGTATAGTAAATACAGAAGACAGTAATACAGTTGTACATTATTAAGTATGATGTGCTTTACTGAGGTATTGCCAAATAAAAATTATGTATCTTTAAGGTACGTGGGTGATGCTCAGACATGCATATATTATTATACTGTGAAATGATCGCAATCAAGGTAATTAATATACCCATCACATCACAGGTAGGTACCTTTGTGTGTGTGTGGTGAGGACACTAAGATCTATTCTTTTTTTTTTAAGAGAGATTTTTGCTATAGGGCATGTGAGCTCACCGGAGAGACAGAGAGAGAGAAAGTGAGAAACCACCCCTGGGGGGATGACCATGCCACAGTCCCTTCTTCTCCACTCTCTTCTCTGGATTTTGGGCACACACACGCCAGTGTGAATGTCAAGCCACCGGGTCCAGGACTCAAACTGCACTTGACCATGTGGGAGTCCAGCACCTTAACTGCCATCTGCTGGCCCCAAGATCTTCTCTTTAAGGATCAGCCCTAAAAGAGCTGGATGAAGTCCAGCAGATGGTGTGGTGGTTAAGGTGGCCGGCTCCCACATGGCTGACTCTGTAGTTCAAGTCCTAGGCCCAGCAGCTTTAAGAAACATGGTGTGTGTGTGTGTGTGTGTGTGTGTGTGTGTGTGTGTGTGTCCATCTCCTCTGGGGGTGATTTCTCACTATCCTTCTCTCTCTTTTTCTTTCTCTGGAGAGTGCACTTGCACTTTAGCAAAAAACTGAAAAAAAAAAAAAAAAGAGTTGAATGGGTGTGGTTTAAGTGTCAGATCCAGAAGCTTGAAAAACACAGTGGGTGGGGCCAGCAGGTGGTGTAGTGATTAAGGCACTGGACTCTCACGTGGCTGGCCGCAGTATGAGTCCAGACCCAGTGGCTTGAGACTCACACCAGGTGCACGTGCGTGCATGCCCCAAATCCCAAGAGGCAAACAGAGAAGAGATTGCAGCACGGCTATTCCCTCTGGAGGGTGATTTCTCGCTTTCTGTCTCTACGTTCCTTTCTGTCTCTCTGGTGAGCACATGTCTCCTATAGGAAATTTCTCTCTCAAAAAA